AGCCATTGTTTTGTTGAATTACTTGTATGCTTTGGGTCATTGTCCTGTTGCATCACCCATCCTCTGCGGCGCTTCAGTTGGCGGACAGATGGTCGTACGTTTTCCTGCAAAATGTCTTGATAAACTCTGGAATTTATTTTCCCATCAATGACAACAATCCGTCCAGGCCCTTAGGCAGCAAAGCAGCCCCAAACCATGATGCTCCCTCCGCCATGTTTTACAGTGGGGATGAGGTTTTGATGTTGGTGTGCTGTGCCTTTTTTTCTCCACACATAGTGTTGTGTGTTCTTCCCAAACAACTCAATCTTGGTTTCATCTGTCCACAGTATATTTTGCCAGTAGTGCTGTGGAACATCCAGGTGCTCTTTTGCAAACTTCAAACATGCTGCAATATTCTTTTTGGACAGCAATGGCTTCCTCCGTGGTGTCCTCCCATGTACTCCATTCTTGTTTAATGTTTTCCTTATTGTAGATGTGTCAACAAAAATGTTAGCATGTGCCAGAGATTTCTGTAGGTCTTTAGCTGACACTCTGGGATTCTTCTTTACCTCATGCAGCATTCTGCGCTGTGCTCTTGCAGTCATTTTTACAGGATGACCACGCCTAGGGAGAGTAGCAACAGTGCTAAACTTTCTCCATTTGTAGACAGTCTGTCTTACCGTGGACACATGAACATCAAGGCTTTTGGAGATACTTTTATAAGCCTTTCCAGCTTCATGCAAGTCAACAATTCTTGATCGTAGGTGTTCTGAGAGCTCTTTTCTGCGAGGCATGGTTCACATCAGACAGTGCTTCTTGAAACCAGTAAACCCAAAACAGGCTCACTCCTGGCTCCAATTAGCTCTGGGAGAAGTCATTAAGCTAGGGCCTCACATACTTTTTCCTTCCTGCACTGTTTACATGTTATGTGCAATTAAACCATGGCAACATCTAATGTTTGTGTAGTATTATGTTCAGCAGACTGTGTTCTTCTATTGTTGTGACTTAGATGATGTTCAGAGCACATTTAATGCCCAATTCATGCAAAACTCCACGTAATCCCAAGGGGTTCACATACCCTTTCTTGCAACTGTATCCACTATTCTTGACCAAGCTTCTGATGCTCTGCTGTTTGACAGGAGTGACTAGAACATACAACTGGCTGCACAGACTTACAAATCCTTTGGTAAGTAAAAATCTACAGAATAAACATATTTAAAATTTGTGTATAGGCTTGTAATTCTGCTTTAAGCATCATTACTGCTTGGAGAGTGAAGATCATTTCCAAAACTCATTTTGTCCATTTTAGTTAGTCCTTAACTATGCACTGGAAAATGTGATACAGTATACTTTAGTAGCATAAACATTAGGAAACAAATATGCTGTAGAAAAATAAAGGCACTTTAAGATTGTCAAAATTCTGAAAACATAATACCTGTATTTGTTTATATTTAAAGCTGAAATGTGGGAATTATATATTTTTTTTTTTTGCAAACTAACATTGGGCCAGCTCGGCTTGATGCTAAGTATCCATATCTTCTACCCGGAGGGCCAGCTGAGATACTGTAATTCACTGTAGTGGTCTGTGCTACATACAGTGAGTGCTATACAGTATATGATTTCCTCCTCTCCACCTTGTCCAATCAGAGAATGCCTTGTATTCACTTACCGTTAAATACAAAGGATTATCTAAAATCTTTATGCTCAAAATGTGGATTTGTTGTGTTTGGGGAGTTACAAAAAGTCCAGTGTTTAATAATAGAGTCTTTAAAGATTTTGGAAGCATAGTAACTAATCCCTTGATTGTATGCCTTTTTCAAAGTTGTCTTGTGTTACCCTTTTTGGCTAAAGACACTATATTAATCATGTGCCCCTACTTTATAGGTTTTTTTTAACAGTTAAGTTTGACCCCCAAATACTAGCTAATGTTTAATCAAGTCAGGTGGATGGACTACAGCAGTAGAAGACCACACCTGGTGCCACTCCCATCAGCTAAGAATAGGAAACGGAGGCTACAATTCACATAGGCTCACCAAAATTGGACAATAGAAGATTTGATAAACATTGCCTGGTCTGATGAGTCTTGATTTCATCTGTGACATTCAGATGGTATGGTCAGAAAAGCATCTAACCATCCTGCCTTGTAGTAATGGTTCAGGCTGGTGTTGTAATGGTGTGAGGGATATTTTCTTGGCACACTTTGGGCCCCTTAGTACCAATTGAGCATAATTTAAATTTACCTGAGTATTGTTGTTGACCATATCCATCCCTTTATGACTACAGTGTACCCATCTTCTGATGGGTACTTCCAGCAGAGTCACATAATGGATGTGCAGCCGACAAATCTGCAGCAACTGCGTGATGCTATCTTGTCAGTATGAGGAATTTTTCCAACACCTTGTTGAATTTCTGCCATGAAGAATTAAGGCAGTTCTGAAGACAAAAGTGGGTCCAACCCGGTACTAGCAAGGTGTACCTAATAAAGTGGCCGGTGAGTGTATATTTCCTCTTCGATATCACCATTAGCAAATACTGTTGGGGTATCATGGTGCTTCGCAACCATTTTTTGAGAAGCTTCCAATGCTACCAGTGTTCTGAAATTACATTGTTTTGCAACTGGAGCAAAAGTGGCATCATAATCCCCCCACATTTTTGTGAGTACCCTTTTGCCACTAACAGTGCTTTGTACCTACAGCCATTACCTTCAGAGCCACATTTGGCCTTAAAACCACATTTGCAGCTGATTACATGCTCACATAGTGTCTATGTCTACAGTTCACTAAGAAATGTAATCTCTTCATCAACAGCTCTGATCCACTTTTGTTTTTCATGGGTTGGAAGTCTTTGAATTTCATCCCATGAATCTGGCTCTGGTTTTAATGCTACGCAAGCAACATAAGACAGACATTTGGCCGGGGTGCTTTTATTGCTTCTGGTGGATTTCCTGATTGAATCATCTTGTGGCTTGGTTTCTTCTTTTACAGTATTTAGATTGTCTGCATTAATTTCTATTTATGTGTCACTTGGTTGCTTATCTTCATGTGACACTGATGTGGAATGTCCCTCAATCTGAAGTATTTGTGTTTAGTTCATGAAATTTTGCACACACTCAAGTTTCATCTGTAATTTTAGCCTTTGCATGTAAGATATCCTCTTTATTGATGGCACAACTATCACCTTGGAAGATCACTACATTGCCTTGTTTTGTGAGGCTCTTCACTGACAAAAGATTAGTTTTAGGAGCAGAGACATACAGAACATTTTTCACAGGTATTTTTCTGGTGGGAAATAGGACTGTGAATAAAACAGTCTCCTAATCCTTCTGATTGTATTATTTGCCCATTAAGCTGTGGTGATTTTTCTGTTTTACTCTGCTTAAGATGAATAAAGAAATTTCTGTCATTTGTCATGTGACTCATAGCTCCTGAATCAACACACCATGCCTGCAAAATTTAGGTGCAACTTTTGGATTGAAAACATATTCATTATCTGAAGAAAAATCGGTTTCTTCATTCACACTTCTGGCCTTTCGTAGTTCAGTTTGTTTTTGCACTCTAGCTTTCCAGATTCTGCAAGCTGCTTTTAAATTACCATGTTTCTTGCACACAAAGCATTCATGTGTTTCTTGTCGCATGTTACTGTTTTTATTCCTATTGTTTGTCTTTAAAGCAGACTCCATGGCTGAAGCACTGTCACTATTAATGCTTTCTGTTTCACGCTTGTATTCAACCATAAGCTTGCCCTTAACATATTCCAATACCAGTTTGTCATCTGGATGTGCATCAAGTGTTGTGACAAGCGTTTCATATCTTTCTGGCAAACCACTAAGTAATAGTACTGTGACATGAAAATCTGCTAGAAATGTTTTTTATTTTTTTCCCAATACTTCTCAGGTGTTCAACCATTTCCAAGGTGTGCCTTATGTAATCCTGCATATCCTGGCCTTTTATCAAGCTTGGTTTGGTATAGCTTTCTGATGAAATAGAGTTTATTGCTGAGATTAGCTCATGTGCCTTTTATGATCCTTCCCACATTTCTTTAGCATTTTCACACTTACATACAGTATATGTATGATTTGATGATATTCTATGCTAAGAGAGATTGTGCTCTGAGCGTTCTGGTTTTTCTCTATACACTAATCTGAGGGGTGCTCTGGCCTGAGTTCATTTATGCATTTCCACATACCTTCTCATATTAGCAACATTTTCATCTTGAATTTCCCAGAATGGTAGTACTGGTTTTTCAGATTTGCAATGAAAGCTTTGTTGCAGCTGTGTTACTGGCCGTTTTAATTTATTCTGTTAGTCTTCTTTCTGTTCTTTTCTGTATATAGCACTACACATGCCCCACTATTCTCAATATCATAAATGACTCCCTTAGCACCAGTTCTGTACTAACGATCCTTAAAACTGCCGTTATCACCCTGGTACCAAAAAACCCAACATGGCTCTGTACAATTTAAACAACTTTGAGCCATATCTAACTTACCTTTCCTTCCCAAGCTCCTCGAGCGGGCTGTAATATCTCAAAGACATAACCACCTGGCTTTAAATAATCTATTTGAACCCCTCCAATCTGGTTTTTGGCAACTGCACAGCACAGAAACTACCTTGATTAACCGCCTCCCGCTCACCATATAGTACAATGACGGGCGCAAGGCGGCTCTCTCATTCTGGGAGGACGTCATATGACGTCCTCCCATTCTAACCGTGCATGCAGGGCTTCGGGAGCGTGCAGCGTGGCGATTGGTGGTGCGCTGTGTCCCTCGGACACAGTGGATCACCGATCAATGGAAAGAGCTGAAGATGTTGGCTCGGTCATGTGATCAGCTGTGTCCAATCACAGCTGATCACATGTAAACAGGGAAATGCCGGTTATCTGCATTTCTCTCCTCACGAGTTGTCACGCTGACAGCTCGTGAGGAGAGGAGAGCAGGTTATTGTCATTCCTCGGAGGGGACATGTATGTACACAGATCATCAGAGCACTGATGATCAGTGTGCTCTGATGATCTGTGTAGCCATCAGTGTCCATCAGTGCCAGCTGTCAGTGCTCATCAGTGCCACCTGTCAGTGCCACATTTCAGTGCCTACCAGTGCACATCAATGCCACATATCAGTGCCCATCTGAGCTGCCTTTCAGTGTCACCCATCAGTGCCAGTCAGTGCCACCTATCAATGCTAGTCAGTGCCACCTATCAGTGCTGCCAATCAGTGCCACCTATCAGTGCCAGTCAGTGCCACCTATCAGTGTGCATTAGTGCCGCCTATCAGCGCCTGTCAGTGCTGCCTATCAGTGCCGCCTAACAGTAACAGTCAGTGCCACCTAACTGTGCCAGTCAGTGCCGCCTATCAGTGCCGCCTATCAGTGCCATATATAAGTGCTGCCTTTCAGTGCCCATCAGTGCTGCTTGTCAATGCCCATCAGTGCCACCTATCAGTGTCCATCAGTGCAGCCTATCAGTGCCCCTCACTACAGCCTTATTAGCGCACATCAGTGAAGGAGAAAAATCACTTATTTACAAAATTTTATAACAAAAATTAAGAAAAAACATTTTTTTTTTCAAAATTTTCAGTGGTTTTTTTGTTTGTTTAAGAAAAAAAATGAAAAACCCAGAGGTGATTAAATACCACCAAAAGAAAGCTCTGTCTAATAAAATGATAAAAATTCATATGGGTACAGTGTTGCATGACCACGCAATTGTCATTCAAAGTGTGACAGCGCTGAAAGCTGGAAATTGGCCTGGGCAGGAAGGGGGTATAAGTGCCCTGTAGGCTAGTGCTTAAAGTCACGATCTTCTATTAGCTTCTGATTCTGGCTCACTGACTATTCCTATTCTACTGGATTAGTTCTGTCTTTGATACTGTAGACCACAATCTTTTACTCTCTCATTATGAAACCATATTTGGAGTCACAGAATTGGCTCTAAAATGGATTAAGTCATATCTTACTAATCATTGGCAATTTGTTTCTCTTGGCGGATTTCAGTCTGAAGTCATTCCAGTCAAGTTCGGTGTTCCTCAGGGTCAACCTTGGGTCCCTTACTTCTTAGCATTTACATGCTTCCACTTGGCCAACTGCTTAGATCACATGGGCTCAATTATTACTTCTGTGCTGATGACACTCAAATATACATCCACACTAAACTGGATTCTACTTTTGGCTGCTTCTCTCCTATCTAACTGTATTTGTGATATAAAAACTTGGATTGCCCATAGTTTTATTCAATTAGACATCGACAAGACTGATGTCATGCCTATTGGCACTCCTCATCAATTGTGTAAGGTCAGTCCTGGTAGGCTATCTATTGATGGCACTGTACTTTAGCTTCAGTCTAAATTGAAGAATCTAGGGGAATATTTGATGCAAGCTTAACCTTTGATCCACATGTACATAATGTTGTCAGAACATCTTTTTTCCACTTTAGCATCATTGCTCTGTTACTTCCTATGCTATCATACACTGTAGCTGAAAAGCTGATCCATACATTTGTACTGTCCCGACTTGACTATTATTATTATTATTATTATTATACAGTATTTATATAGCGCCAAAAAGTTTGCTCAGCACTGTACATTAAAGTGGGGGACAGTACATGAGATAATACAGTAACAATAAAATACACAAGGGGTTCGAGGGCCCTGCTCTTTCGAGCTTACAATCTAGGAGGGAGGGGGTAGGTGACAGTCTGATGGATTGGGGTAGGGAGTTCCAGAGGAAGGGGGAAGTCCTGGAGAAGTCCTGCAGTCTGGCGTGGGAGGAGGAGACCAGGGAGCTAGAGAGTAGGAGGTCTTGTGAGGAGTGAAGGGCACGGGTAGGGTGGTATTTGGGTATCAGGTCAGTGAGTAGTTTGGGGCAGCGTTATGAATGGCTTTGTATGTCAGAGTTAGTAATTTGAATTTAATGCGTTGGGCAATCGGGAAGCCAGTGAAGGGATTGGCAGAGGGGGGTGGCAGAAGTGGAGCGGTTGGTGAGGTGGATGAGTCTAGCCGCTGAGTTCAGGATAGACTGGAGTGGGGATAGCGTGTGTTGGGGTAGGCCGGTGAGAAGGGAGTTGCAGTAGTCTAGGCGTGAGATAATAAGGGAGTGTACGAGTTGTTTAGTGGTGTCTGGGGTGAGGAATGTACGTATCTTGGAGATGTTGCGGAGGTGGAGCCTGCATGAATTTGATAGTGATTGGACATGAGGTTGGAAGGAAAGGTTTGAGTCCAGGGTGACACCTAGGCCTGTAGGGTGGGATTGATGGTGGCGTTGTTAGTCGTGATGGAGTGCATGGGGGGGGGTGTGGGGCTGGGAGGAAAACTAGGAGCTCGGTTTTGGAAAAGTTTAACTTGAGGAAATGGAGCGACATCCAGTCTGATATGTCATTTAGGAGGTGGGTGATGCGGGTGGAGAGTGAGGGGGTGAGGTGAGGGGTGGAGAGGTAAGTTTGTGTGTCATCGGCATAGAGGTGATAGTTGAAGCTGTGGGAGTGTATCAGTTTGCCAAGGGAGGAGGTGTAGATGGAGAAGAGAAGGGGTCTGAGGACAGAGCCTTGGGGGACCCCAACAGAGAGGGGGAGAGAGGGGGAGGTGGCAGCGTTATAGGTAACGCTGAAGGAGCGTTGGGATAGGTAAGAGGAGAACCAGGAGACAGCAGAGTCCCTGATGCCAAGGGAGTGTAGTTTAGTAAGGAGGAGGGGGTGGTCGACTGTGTCGAAGGCCGCGGAGAGGTAGAGGAGTAGGAGGACTGAGTAGTGGCCATTAGCTTTGGCGGTTAGCAGGTTGTTAGTGATTTTAAGTACGGCAGTTTCGGTAGTGTGTAGGGGACGGAAGCCAGATTGTAGTGGATCAAGGAGGTTGTTGTCAGTGAGGTGGGAGCTTAGGCGATTGTAGACTAAGCACTCAAGGAACTTGGAAGTGAGTGGCAGCAGGGAGATGGGTCTAAGGTTGTTCAGATCAGTGGGGTCCAGGGAGGGTTTTTTGAGTATGGGGGTGATGTGCGCATGCTTTAGGGGGGAGGGGAATGCGCCAGTAGAGAGGGAGAGATTGAAGATGTGGGTGAGGGAGTGAATGATGGAGGAGGGGGGTGACCGGAGGAGTTGTGAGGGGATAGGGTGCAGGGGGCAAGTGGTGAGGCAGGCTTCAGTGAAGACCTTAGTGACCTCCTCAGTGGTAGCAGGGCTGAGGGAGCGGAGTGTTGGGGAGGTTATAGTGTGCGGGATGTTAGGTGTGGTGGGGGGCAGTGCGGTTGCGAGGTCAGAGGAGGGGAGAGTTGAGGGGGTGATGGAGGAAGGGAGGGAGGCTAGGTGGAGAGGTAGATTGTGAATTGACAATGACCTTACTGATTGCATCAATCTTGTTTTGGAAATGATTGGCAATCTCGTGGGTGGTGAGTGAGGTATTGAGTGGAGGTGGGGGGGGGGAGAGAGCAGGGAGTTGAAAGTGGAGAAGAGCTGGCGAGGACAGGTGGAGAGGGTGTTAATGAGGGTTATGAAGTAGGCTTGCTTGGCGGCGTGGAGGGAGGAGGTCTAGGCGAGGAAGGCGGATTTGTAGAGGGAGAACGACTATTGCAATGCTCTACTCATTGGTGTACCTAAATCCCCTATTAATCGACTATAATATGTACAACATTCTGCAGCAGAATCCTCACTAGGTCTGGTACAAGTGACCATATTTCCCCTATCCTGGAGTCCTTGCACAGGCTACCTATCAGGTTTCACATGGACTATAATATCCTCTTGTTCACTTATAGGGTTCTTCATGGCTTGGCACCCCATTATCTGTCTGAACGTTTATCAACTTAGCCCCCCCCTTTCAAATTCTGGTCTTTTGTGTGTGTCCCCTACTTATCTACACTCGATGGGAGACAAAGGCTTCTCCTGCTATGCTCCAAAACTCTGAAATTCTCATTCAAGGAACATCAGAGAGTCATCTTCTCTAAACTCACTCAAATCAAATCTAAAAACTTTTTTCTTTAGGGCTTGTTCCCACTTGACTAAATTTCTAACTCTGCAAAAATGCCCCTATAGCCTTGCACAGGCGTAAATGAGCTTTAATATGGGCATTCTTCAAGCGTTAAAAACACTCCCTGAATGCCCCATGTGTGGTTTTGAGGCGTTTTACAAGAGTTAAAACTGCAATACAAGCGCCTATAATAAACTCTACTGGTATTAATGCCCTGCAAATTCGTTGCAAATGCCTGCCAGGTGTTTGAGAAGTTTCAACATAGACTTGAATGGGGGGCATTGAAAGGCTTCAGCTGCTCCTGAGTCGACATGAGGCTTCAATTTTGAAGCGACACGACACTAACGCTTCGTGTTTTGCTAATGTGTACAGCACTGTGTGCTGCCCATAGTTTAATTTCCTGCTTTCAAAGCTAGTGTGAACTAAGCCTTAGACAAGTTTTCACTTAATCATTTTTTTCCTTTGTTTTATCCTGTGTATTTCTTGTGTTTTCTTTGTAAAGCACTTTTAGAAGATACCTTGAAAGGTGCTATATAAAATAAACTTTATTATTATTACACATGTGGACTGTGCACTGTCTGTCCTGTATGGCTATATACAGGATTTCTAAAATTAATAATATGCATGATTATTAAGGGTGGCACAGTGACCTAATGGTTAGCAATTATGCCTTGCAGCACTGTGGCCCTTGGCTTGAAACTCGGACACACTTTGCATTGAGTTAACGTGTACAAGTAATCTCTATGTTCACTTTATTGACACGTCACATGTGGATTGAAGGGTAGTTCCCTCCAACAAGTAATCAAGTTCCTACTGAATGCAAGAGCTAAAGTATCAATTGGATATGGATTTAAAGAAAAGCCAACATCTGGACTGAGAGATGAGACAGGAGGGTATGAAACTGAGGGGGTGTACCTAGGGCACCAGGTATCATTGATGACCCTTCCAGAAACATAGTGGACTCGTCAATGAAACCTCAAAGAAAGAGAATTCCCACCTGATGACTTACCTACCCTCCCCCCCCTTTTTGTCACAATAACCGCAACATCAAGTGCTGATTTCCATTGGGATCATAAAGTTCTATTAGCTCTACTACAGTAAATAATACTATAAATCCATCATTTGATCTTCATTACATTTAAATCTTACAGCACATCTAAGTTAAAAAAAAGAATTAATATATTGCACCTTAACAGTGCATAGATGTGGTGGCTGTATTGGTTTTCTTTTTTCAAGCTTTTTCCTTTTTAAATCTATTGATCCTTCCAGTAACACATACTATATCTTTTACTAATGTAACTACTAAGATCCACTGCACTAAACATTATCTATGAAGGAGCAGTGTTGTTGCCTTAGGCTGTTCTCCTGACTACAAAAACCTCCCCCTCTCTATAACATAGGAGTATTCTGTAGTTCACAAAGAGAGTTGGGAAGATTGATAACATTATTTCTGTCAAGATCAACAGATATTATTCTGTTCTT